GAGAGGGTGGGAGAGAAAGAGAGACAGAGAGAGATAGAGAGAGATAAATAGATATATAGAGAGAGAGAAAGAGAGAGACACACAAAGATAGAGAGAGAAAGAGGTTGTGACAGAAAGAGAAAGAAAGAGAAAAAAAAGCCAACTGCACATGCGTAAAAATAATAAACGTCTGCCACATCCAATGGAACGATAAACATGTGTTTTCATCTTTTTTCCCCTACAAAACCCCACTGAAACTCAAACAAATATGATACGCGGACTCCATCGAGAAACACAACAATATGTAGACAGAGAAAAAAGCCCTCATAATCTTTGCCTACGAGTCTTGGTTTTAGTAAGAGCACTAATAACACAAACTGATCATATTATACGTGTTGATGATTAGAGATGCTCCTAGAGAGTAACATACACTGAAAAGATGGAGGAGCGATAAGGACTACGTACGTTTTGATAAAACGTAAAATATGAGAGATGTTGGGCACATAATGTAATATAATATACTGACTGGCATAAATAACGTGAAAACGTAACACCATGTAGAAAACAAAAGTGAGTATTTTCATGAGTTGTTTTCCTTTGTCTCTATTCACTATGTGTTCTTATCATTGGATTGGCTCGATTAAAAAAGCACAACATGCTCATTGGCCACTTATGTATCAAACAATACAACAAAGCAACGGTCTCAAATGTACGCAGCTAAAACGTAAATCGAATAGTGAATTTTTGCTCACATGTTTAGTTGGTCTGGCCTATAAATTCTCTGCCCTAAAATGTTTGATTGAGTGTTGCATAGTCCGACTATCAAGATGCCAAAATTATCTGCAGAAAATCGAGAAAGAGCTATTGGACGTCTGGAAGCGACCCCGGACAACGCTACTCTGACGAGAACATCAGGGAGAGAGACCCGTGGGGAGGTCAAAGCGTGATGATATGGGGCGCAATCTGTATCAATCAAAGACTGGGCCTCATAGTCTTCCAAAATTTAGGACCTGTACGTGGCAACGGAGTAACGGCCCAGCGCTACATCAACCAAGTTCTGCAGCCCCATGTTGCTCCATTTTTCCAGACACATCAAAACCATTTCTTTCAGCAGGATAACGCCCAGCCTCATATATACAGCACGTGCTACCCAGCAGTTCCTGGTGCCGAACAACATACCCACCATGCCTCACCCACCCCGATCACCAGTTGTGAACCCACTAGAACACCTTTGGGACATCCTTCAGATGCGTCTCAACCAACTCCAGCCCAGACCCCGGACAGCTGCACAACTGGGTGCTGCTATTCTTCAGGAATGGGTGCAGGTCCCCAACTGCCAAATCAATCGCTTGGTCCACTCTATGCACCGCCGATACACTGCTGTCATCAACACTAATGGGCGCCATACCAGATACTGACTGGAACTTAAGCCCCAAGGTCATCCCCAACTCTCAAGCATTGTTTTGTGCAATTTGAGACACCTCAAACCTGTTTCTCTAAATAAAAATATTGCTTCAATTTACTCTTCTCTTATTGTTTCTTGTGAATTCGCATTACTTTTGCCAGTAAGTAGGCCTATATTATATTGCTACCACCAGGATTAAAAAGTTTGAACAGTAATGATGTTTGGAAAAGGGAGGTAAACATTGAAGTAAGCTGGTCACAACGTTCCCTCAGTTCTCTCCCCTGAATGTTATCAGTCTAGAGCAGGGGTTCTCAACCTGCGGGTCGCGTGACCATTCTTGGGGGGGTCGCGAGATCATTGAGGATTTTGTGCTTAAATGACCCTCTGAAAACTAAAACATTGCTCTTTTTCTTTACCTGGCGATTTTCAAAAAAAGTTTCCCTCTTCAATTGGCAGAGATAAACTGACTTCTAAACACGACCAGAGAATCAACAAGGCTACACCAGTGTGCCCTTCCTGTTTATGTAGGCCTATCATAGGTTTGACTTGCACTGTTTTCTTTTGTTTCAATGTATAATATAGCCTAGCCATAGGGTAACGCACATACCTTGAAGCCTCGTTTATGACGAGCTACATGAGTTCTGGCTTCGGAGAAGGGGATCACAGGGGGGAGCACGTTAGTTCTGCATATTTCCATCCAGACCTTTCTCGCCCAAGTTAAATTTGTGTGCGCCAAGGCCCTGGCGTAGTTCTAACCCACGCCCAAGGGATGTCACTGTAATAAAATAATTATCACGGAAACTCTGTTTCACTATTATTGTCTCTTTCTAATCCCGTGTAGTATGATCATCTAGCTCGTCATCTAAGATCATAAGCATAGCTGAGAAAAAAAATCTATAAATTATTATCTATGTTGTTGCGTGGCAGAACAATAAACACACAAGAAAGGTTAGGTCAGGAAACTTGACAAAGTTGAGAGAGAGGGAGAGAGAGAGAGAGAGAGAGAGAGAGAGAGAGAGA